ACATATTGTAATATATGTAATGTAAAGACTGAGAGAGATAAGTGAGTGGAGAGGGAGATAATAGGACGAGAGAGGTAGGAGAGAAGCAGGTGAAAAAAGAATGAAAAAAGGAAGGGAAGTTAATTAGAGCTCGAATCACGTTTCTAAAAGAATTTTGAAATTGCGATTTTTTCGACAATTGAGTCAAGGAGCCTGGAATTTCAAAGACACCATTCGCTGAATTGAGTTTTGCTAGCTATCCACAAAGAGTCTAATTCAGCTGGATGTTCAATGCACTGATGATGCAGCTTAGATCGAACTGTAACATGAGGTCGATAATCTCTCCGCCATAGAATGGAGCGTGGTTCAAGCTAAGAGGAGCTTTGTCGTTATCACGTAAATGTATTAATTTTAATAAAGATCTCTCTCCATCTCTCTTTAATTATAGACAGATCTAAAGATGTTGACTCTAATATAATCGTCTTTGTACATTGCAACAAATGTGTATATTTAATCGTACATTGAAAAAATAATGACTGATTTCCTTACATTATAAATTTTGACAATTATGTGTAATATTGAAAGTCATTAAGCCAAGTTGATTGTTGGATGTTTTTTTTATATTTTCCATTAGCAATTAATTATTCAATCGTTACAACTTAAATAGTACATGCGAAGCGCATCAATGATGTCTAGTCTAAAAATTCATGTTCCTGACATTTTCCTTTTTTGTGTTACATGCAAAGTGATATGCAGAAACGCAATTGTTTATGATACCGAAGATCGTTATACATATAAAGTAGAAAAGACACAAATGCAATAAGGGTAAAAAAATGTTATCCAATGATCTATAAATATAACGTACTTTATATTTCATTTATTATTTTTTTTATGTATATAAGATGTATATTTCTAATAATATTTTATATTTAATGTGCAAATAATATAATAGTTATCTCTAGATACATTTCTCTTTTATTCAAACTTTGCTAAGTCGAAACTTCTATAACTCGAAAATTTTTATTGTACATAATATTGGCTTGAGTGGAAAGTTTATTCTGTTTTTTATTAGGAGATAATATTAATATAAATACAAAAAAAGGGGATGAATTTTTGGTTCAATCTAATATTATATTTGAACATATAAACAATTTAACAGTATTATACACATGTTAATTACATTACGGTATATTTAACATAACTAATTATTATCTCAATTTTCTCCATATCTCTCTTTTTTTCTCTATCTCGAGTATTGATATATTTTATACTATTGTTTATTATATTTAAAAAATTAAAAACATATTTGAGTTACTAAAGGTCTGATTGCATCAACGTTATTTTAAGCTATGCTCTGTCTATTTCTTTTCAAAACAAAAGACAGAGAAAGAAAAAGAGAGTTTCAAGCCTCTCATAAAATCAAACTACCGTTGGTGCAATTGAGCTTTAATTATTTTTATATTATCTTAACACATACATGAAAAAGACGTGTATTATATAGAAAAATGTGTATGTTATTCAATTTTTTATACTCCTCGTGATTACGCAATTAAAGAATGATGCTCATGTCAGTAGGTATACAATATATCATGTAATATTTAGTTACACAATCTTTAATCCAGTAGTACGCTTTTACTATATAATTATTGTACAAATTTACTACATAAATAATGTACAAGATATTGTTTATTAAAAGAAAACATTGAATTTATTATTTTCTAAATTAATAATTTGACACATATACCATAAAATATTTAAAAATATTTATTAAAAACAGTAATTTTTCTGTTCTGTAAAATTTTTATTTTTTAGGTTTAGTTCATTTCTTTATAAAATGTCAAAATGATATATAATTATCTGGATTAAAAATTTCAACTTCGATTATAATTGGAAACAGAATATTTTATGACAATAATATGAAATAATGATATTTCTTGTAACATTTTAATTTCTTTATAGAGATTCTTCTAAAGAGCTTTAAAAATATTCAATATCAATGAATGTTTTTTAAAACTACAAGAATACAAGAATAATGCAATATGTATTATTACTAATAGAACTCATCTGGTTTATATGTAAACAAAGATAACTAGAAAGAAATTTATGTTAGCAATACTAAAATTATTGTGTATTTTATCAGAACATTTCATCAGAATATTTCAAATATTTATATGTTCAATAAATATTTGAAATATTCTGATGAAATGTTCTGATAAAATACACAATAATTTTAATGACATGTATTTAAAAAATAGCATTTTACAATTTTTACTTTTATTTCTTAAACGTTTAATTAAGGAAAAGATTGGATTCTCGCTATAATTTAAAATGTCAATTTTAAATATTTAATGTCATGCTTAAAAAGAATTTTAAATATGCTTTATTACTGTCCTTCAACTTTGTCCATTCGATAAATGTTATGTAACAGGAGCCTTTGATTTCCTCGCTCGCAACTTTAACCAGAAACCTCCGTCCGGCAACATGGCGAATGATTTCTGCAGTACCATAGGAATTCTAGTTTTAACGTCGGGTTCGACATCACAGCGCCAAAGCAAATAAAACAGCATGATTTTTGATTTCATTAGGGCGAACCGATTACCTATGCAGATTCTGGGCCCAATACCAAATGGCATATAGACCGAGTTGTCCACATTGCTATTAAAGAATCTGTCTGGATTGAATTTCTCTGGATGTGGATAGTACTTTGCATCACGATGCAGAGGGAAAGCCGGGAACAATATACTATCTCCAGGCTTTATCGTGACCAGTTCTCCATCTGGAGTCGCTGGTGGTAATTTTGTCTCTTTAACGCATATTCTGTCCAGGAAGGGTACTGGTGGATATAGTCTGAGAGACTCGTTTACCACGGCATCCAAATATTTCATACAATTGATGGCTTCGTAGGTAGGTTTGCCGTTAGTTTGTCTAAGAACATCGTCAATTTCTTCTCTCAATTTGCTCTGAATATCGGGATCGACACCGACGTGATGCGTCATGAAACACATAGCTGTTGAAACAGATTCGAATCCAGCGAAAAAGAAAACGAATGCCTGGGCGGTCATCTCGTCGATGTTGAACTCAGGTCCATTATCTTTGTTCCTGGTTTCCATCATCAACTGAATCATGTCCGGGCGAATAATTCCCTGTTCATCCCTGACTTTGACCGTGCTCGAAACGACGTCTTTGAAAAAATTTTCTACCTTTGGACCAAACATTCTCAGTTTGAAAAGATTAGCAAGTAGCGGAAAGTTTCTGTTTATTACAAATTTGAGGGCTACGATGCCATCAAAAATCAGTGCCTTTCTGGCAAGCACAAAAAATTCGTTATTCGGATTCTTAAAAGAATCCACGTCGATACCAAAGGCGCACGTGGCCACCGTGTCGTTGGCGTATCTGCAAAGTAGATCTTTTATATCATATGTCTTGCCGACTTTTCCGGATTGAGTTGCTACAAAATTGGCGAAGTTCTCGGCGCAC